AGTCACCGGACGGCGATCGACCAAGTCGTCATCGTCCGCCGCCGACTCTTCTCGATGATAATGGTGGCATCAACTTTCACGTGGAACGCCTTGTGGGTCGACGTTGTCGACGGGGTGTAACCCACTATGTTGTGAAGTGGCGGGGATACCCAAACTCCGAAAACTCGTGGGAGTTTGAGGTGTCACTTCGACAAGACTGCCCAGACGTCGTAGACGCTTATGATCAGAAGAATCATGACGCTTCGCGTCGTCGTGCGCGATGCGCTTCTCGGAAGTGGCCCGGGAAGCTGTAAGGTCAATGCTGAGCTCTAGCTACGGCGCTGAGCTGCTGTGGCCGTAGACTCACCGTGTGAGAATTTACAGAGCTCGCGGAGGCATTATGGAATGTTTCATATGTCGCAGGGCGACAGTACGCAGGAAGTCGGCGTTGCGCCTTGGGTGTGGCAAACTCAAATTTAAGATGGCGCTCAAAGCGCACGTCTACTTCCGTGTTCTTTCGCTGTAAGGGAGACAGCGAAGCAAATTTCTGGTGCCGCTGCACTTTTTGCTGAAATAGCTCATCATCATCTGCAGCGGTTTAACCAGAGGCGAGCACCACAGGTATAGCCCGCATTGCGGGTACAGAAGCGCCTCCAATTTGAGCTTGAAGTCGACGCGGTACCGATCCATTGGAATCTCTTGTGGTACCAGAAAGCGAGCTCGCAGAGCTTTCCGCTGATCAAGCTCAGCTTGTGTTGTGGTCGGTGTCCGACAACGTAGACGCCTAACGATCGAGTTTTGCGTCTTTCGCTTCAGTAGCGGAATCCGCTGAGCTGAAGCCGTATTTCACACGAGGGCCTAAGACCGAACGTGGATATGAGCGCAGAAGAGCCGTCCAGTGAGCAGCCTCCATTTGCTGCTCCTGTACCTCGTCGAGGCGATTGGTTATAATACCACTTCTCCCGGGAGCCGGGAGGTCGGGGAACGGACATAATGTCACAAGGTTTGAGTTGGGCTCACGTCGCGCCGTTGCGCACTTCATTCTCCTCGTCTTCCCATACTGGGAAAGGCGTATCCGACTTGTAGCCTCCTCCAACTTCTCGACGAGAAAATTCGTCGCCCGGGGCGGGTGCGTTGTGTTACGCTCAGTTGCCGAGGGCTTAAGATCTACTTCTCGTTTAGCCGCGGACGTACTGTTCGGGGATGCACCTGTGCTGACGAAGAAGGGCTTTGCCCGCGGGCGCCCTCGAAACCTAGCTATGTGTTTTGCGTGCCGTAGACACAGGGCTCATTGGGCGGTGAAGGATTAAAGTTGTTCTCAAGAACGTGAAGGTGTCTCAGACACGCGAGCCTCGTATGAGGCAACCGTTTAATGTGAATTGAGAATATTCACAATTTCGATGGGGATGTGTGCAACGGGGTCATACGTACCCTTGTAAAAAAGGGCGGGTTGCACAAGATGGTAAAAGATGGTGCGACCGTACAAAGGTGTGGATAACACAAGTTGGTGTAATCTCACAGTGGTGTGGCTACACCGTAACAAGAAGCCACCACGTGACAGGATTGTCAGTAGTGATGCATATTACTATATTATATAGGTATTACAAAACTAATTAGGTAATACATGTTAATTGAGGTTTTAGATATTGGCGGCTCTGCCGCAACTGAACAATTAAATACAGTTTTGATTTTAATCAGAAGTGTTGATTGCGTTAATTAAGGTTTTTAGAACTTGGAAGTAGCGGATTGTGATCCGCTACACTCGTACTGGTTCTTGAAAAAAACGTAAGGTCGGTGACCTTAGCTTAGCTTCCTCTAAGCAAAGAGCTACGGCAGCCCCCGCTGCAGCGGGACTGCTTCGCAAGTGCAAACAATACATTCTTTCAAGGGGATACGTCAAGTGCCAGTAAGGCGCAAGGCGGCTTACTTTAAAAAATGTTCTTTGTACGTCATGGAGATCGTGTTTAATAAGATTAAACCCTTAAAGGTGCGACTCCCTCTAAGAGTAGTGCGGGTATATAGTCCAGTCTTGCTGATTCTTTTATCAGAATACTACTTTATGTGAAGTCGTAAAAGGTCTCACAGAAGCGTCAAGCAGTTATATACGACGTGCGACCGTCAGAAAAATTGACAATATGAAGATTGTAGATATGGATATGATTTTCGTGTTTTTTCGCGATGGGACACTGGTATAGTT